CTGCAATGTAACAATGTTCCTAGCAACACAGACAACACACTGTATTATCTTACAATTTTTTTGTAGTATACGGTCGTAATATATCCTGCAATGTACATCTTGCAAGGATTTCTGTAATAATGGCAACATGAGATTTTTCTGGAAATTTGCATAAGCGCGTTTTTTTACATTTTTATTACTCTTTCTTCATTTTTTTTAACAAAATATACGTATATAAGGTATCTAAATAAGTGCGAAAAATTTAAAATGATTTTTTGTCGAAAATTATAAGGAGGCTTTCTTATATAAACATATACTCTTATATCCCTTCCTGGAGAGTTACACTTTTTTATATATAGAGGAAGGTAAAAAATAAGTTTTTTTTTCTTAAAAACAAAAATGTTTCTAAAGGAATCTTTCTAACGCATATTTTTAGGTGATCATATATATGTTTATATAAGAAACCCCTCTTAATTTTCGACAAAGAATCTAAAATTTTTCGCACTTATTTAGATACATCCTGTATATAATTTGTAAACTTGGCAATAAAATAACGTGCACAATGTTTCCGATGAAGCCAGACAAACGCGACTTGACGAGACGGTACTTGCGTCCACAGTTTAATTATAAAGTTCATTACGCACGCGCTGACAACTTGGACAAAATGTATGCAATCCAGTCGTTATTTTAGCCGCAGTATTAGTCGACATCATTCAAATATTAAATATCCGTTGTTTGCGCGCGCGAGAAGTGCATCGGGCGTGACGACGGCCAAGCGGAGTTTATTTGAATTTAATCGTAGAGCAAAGTGCCCGTATTAACCGGGATATACCGTTCTCCGCATAGCGATGAGGTGTGGCGAGAGGCAGGGGAATTTAATAGCCGGACGAGTATATCCATGTATGCAACGTATGACCGGGTGGGCCGAATTGTCCGAGCAAATTTGCGTGCTCGGCGTCGCGGAAACACGCGGAAAATGTGCAACGCCAGACGTGCCGCGGATGAAACGCCGCGATTTTGCAGCGACAGCTCGGTTCACTTAGTGACCAAATCGCAAAAAAAAATTCCGCCTTTTGGACGCGCGTATAAATTTCTCCTTTTCTTTCCCTCACGCGATGTTACGGCGGACAGGTATTAACAGAGCGAGATTTGACAGATGCTATCAAACGCATGTCAGACCCGATCGATCGGAATATGACGTATCACTATATCGAACGCGTTTTGATATTGGGAGTTCGTGGTATGTTATTACAGCTTGTTCGATCGCGCGTGCGTTGAAATATTTTCACGGTAAATATTTGTAGGGTTTTTACGTTTGGGTGAGTCGTTTTTGCATCACTAATGTAGCGGTTATTTATTCTGCTATTTGTCGAAATAATTTCATTATTCAAGGCATGGATGCGATTCGTGGGATATATATGTATGTATATCTGTTGTTCCGAAAAATATTTGTATGTTTATTTTTATTCTATTCCGAAAAATATTTTTGAAACTATAAAATCACTTTTTTAAATTCACTTTACATAGAAGCGCATCTCGAATTCTGCTCTCGAAGATACTTTTTTTTACATTTTTTAGCTAATTCTCTGTTACTGGATTTTATTGACAATACTGAATCTATATGCTGGATTTAAAAAAACCAACAATTTTTACCAACAATTATTTGATGAAATTTTTACTACATATTTGTATATCTGACTTCTAAAGTTTACAATGAAAGAACATCCTTTCATTTTACGAGCAAAGATAAAAACGTTCGTATCCGGTGAGGCCTGGATAAGGGTTAGAGGCATCCGCTTCTCAAAATATGAAAGGGACGAAAAAAAAGCTTGGCCGTCGCAAGATGGTCCTCTTTCACGGCCATTGACGCCTTTCTTCGCACTCTTATATTCGCGAAAACCGTTTTTGCGCGCCATTCTTTTTCTCTCATCTCCATTGACGTCAATCTCGCTCTCATAAACGTCGTCGTCGCACATGTGCGACACGTTTCGCGGACTCTCGCGCGGACTCATCCCGCATCGCCGATTTGACACTTTAAAGAGCCACTCAAAATTCCACGTTGACCCACTTTGTAACTGACCGAAGACTCCGTTCGCGACGATGTGACGCTGCTTGATAATCGCTCCCGAACGTGATCGCGATCCGACGTGCACGCAGGAAGTTATTATCGCTTCCACGCGTTCCGGTCTGTCATTCAAATTGCATGCGAAGCAAATCGCATGAATGAGGGATCCGATGTTTGCGCATGTTGAGACGAGAAACGATCCGGAAAGAATCTAGGTCTAGTCGTCTTCAACTGTCAACTATGAAAATACATCTTGGAACAGATAATAGGAGACGTACATATGTCACTCAATTCGTCTTTACTTTCCTGAAGAATTAATGACAGTAATAATGTGTTTTTTTTTATTGTTCTGTTTTCTTTTTTTATTTTTTTTTTTTTTTTCAGGAAACAAGCACTAAAATATTTTTCCATAGAAACAAGCACTAAACCAACAATAGTACAAATATTAAAACGGATGACTCAACAAATCATGATTCGCAAAATTTTATTTCGCGGCACGTCGACAGTTCATTCAATAGATATCGTATCGATAACCGATAAAATACTTTGGAACATTTTTAAACTGGGATATCTCTCTTCCTCTCTTCTCTCTCTTTCTCGATCAAATTTGATAGTCAATATACCTAGTCAATATACCTAGAATTTATCATCGAGAAATAATGGCGTTGATGCTGGGTATGATTTCAGGTACGTCTGGTTTCTCGATGTCTATATTGATCGTACACAAGTGAATTTAATTGAAATTCAGATTCGCGCGATGCTCGCGAGAAACAGAGGAAACATTAAGTAATAATTTCAATCCATTTACCACCTACACAGGAAGAATTAGCGCGCTTAATGTGCAGTTGACAGAATGACGAATCGCGCCGGCCAATCCCTCTTCTCGTCTATATATATATCTACATACATATATGCAATACGGTTACGATGCATTGAATGCAGCAGTGTATAAAAGCATTAAATCAATAAAACTGAATTAAATTATTAATTAATAATTAATAAATAACTATATGTTTAATTATTCGAAGTAGTAATTTAAACTACATATTAACGCAGTAACAATAAAGCAATCATATATAAATTGATGAAATAATTGTCAATTGCAGAGTCATGTACAACTAAATATTTAATTAATAAATCTAATGAGTCTCTTTGATTTCAATTTATGATTCACATTAATCGTATATATTTTAGAAATGTCCAAAATGAGATATTGCATATTCTACATATTTAAATAGATACGTCACATATATCTGCAGATTTACTTTAATCGCGTGAATTTATTTTATTAGAATTTTGTATTCAATTCTTCTCCGTATTCTCAAAAATAAACCGCCCGTAGAAACTTTCATTATTTTTACGAGCTTTTGGAAATTGCTTCTGCACTTCTTTGAATCTTGAATTTTCGAATTCAAAGCCCGCTTCTCCCCGTGCGGATAAATGTAAATGGTTGGAATGGAACAGCCTCGGAAGCATCGACTTCACTCCCTCGAGTCGACGAAAAATAAATTCCTACGCTACTGGGTGGGTCGATAGTTTCGGGTACTCCCAGAACGGAGACGGGGTCGCGCAGTGTTAGTCGAATTTGGGAAAACCGAGTTCGACCGCGGAACCGCTGAATTTACCCCTTTGCAGCCCGGTGTCAAGGACTTTCGTCGATATAACATCTGGCTAAAGTGTCAGCTAGAGGGTGGACTCCTGTTCGTTACACAAACAGGAGCAGCTTCCTGCGGCGCAGCTGCGAATGTCGAGGAGCGAAGAGCGGTTTCGTTCGATTACGCGCAGTTCGAAAATGTTCTATTTGCGAAAAGAGCTCCGCAATTTTTGTAAACGCTCCGCGAATACTGATATGTGTACGTTCGATTGTCATCGAAAATTTTTCACTTTTTTCGCGAGTTTATTGAAAGGTGCCTTCGAGAAAAAAAATAACATTTAATTTGTTGTTTATTTTGATTAATCGTACGAGAATATAAAGTCAATCCCCGCGGTTATGAATTCTAACAGTATTTGTATACAATAAACTAACAGTTTTATACAAATATTTTTTACAAGAATTTTTTTATATTTGAATTTTTCGAGTCTGTGATAAATGTGCAAAACAATTTTTTTTTCTGACAAAAAAGGGAATAAATACTTTTACTCGCGGACGTCCAAAATTTTGGTGTAAAATTCGTTTAACAATAATGAAAAATGTCAGTTTAATGGACGTTAAAATCTCGTTAGCAATTGGATAATTAGCGATCATTCAGTAAATTTTAACGTCAACGCGTCCTTTTAGCAATACGTTAAATACGATTGCATACTTTTTTGCATGCAAGAGTCCTTTTTGATGCGTTGTCTAACTTCCTGTACTGTATAATGCATAAAAAGTAAAAAATAATGATGTCCGGTGTTCGAGAAAAAGTGTAAGAACTGACAGCTTCGATCGATATACTAACTATATTCATTAATGTGGAAGCTTCGTAAAAAGCTTTGTAAATTCCATATTACGTTATAGACTCCTCTTACGATGCATCCTTTTTTCAACGTCGCTTCTCGCTTGGTTAACACTTAAATGGTTCTGTAAGAGCCACATTTGGCTTAAGTTAATACAGAGTAAAAGCGCAAAGAACTTTTAATACTGAATATACAAAAATACAAAATTGTTTTTTGTGTTCAAAAATGTTTAAAAGATAATTTTTTTTTAATTTTTATCAAAATTTTGTAGCATTTCTACATCTTAAATTTATTGTGCGTGTGTATGTATGCGTGAATTTGAGTTCCACCCTTATTTTGAATATATCTTGATAGTTTAAATAAACAGTTCTGTGGCCAAGGATATTATCTCAGGACATACTAAGACACCAAATTCACACAATGTTTTACTTTATCCTGCGAGACTCAGTATTAAAGTTCGTATTTTATTACGTACTATACAAGTCCAATAGTTCAACATTGGTTTAATTAATTGTTACAGGTCCGTCCCCAGACTTTAGTAGACACATTCTGGTGAGACCGAGAGTGTATCACGGCAGGACAAAGAGACAGATCTCATCGACCAAAGAGAATGTAAGTACGATTCAACATTTCATTTTTGAATAAACTAGAAAAAATTCTTAAAATTCCATGAAATATTAACTAGAACTGTATCCTCGACCTTTTAAGATTTGCTTGTATTTTCTTGGCTCGCATTATGAAAAACGTTTTATTCAAGGTTTTTGCACAGATCAGTTTTTCTATATTTTTTCTTTATCACTACGTATAATATTTAACCCGTAAATGTCAATCATACTTGCGGTTTTTGTACAAAAGTTTTGTACAAAATTAATGATTCTTTTATAAAAATATTATAGACTCAAAGAGCCTTTTCTGTCGACGAATTTCTCTCTTTTTAAACAGAGAGTTAATTAATAAAATAAAATTAAACTCTCAATTAAATTATCTGACAGAAACTTTTTGATTAATTACTTGCCAATGTATTTACTTAAAATAGCTTGCGATTTAATACATTTCATCTTCATCGCGTCACTGTAATAAATTACATTTTAAACATGTTGATAATATATATCAATTACCGGATATTTCGGAGACTGGAAGAGGTTTAATATCCACGAATCGTAACCTTTTTTCGATAAAGTACATTGTTCGCTATCAGCAGTCGCCGAATACCTTTTTTCAGCGAGTTTTCGCGCGACGTTCGCCATTTGCTCGGGCGGATTACGATGCGAAACATGTATCGGCGCCGGGTGCAACAATTTCAATGCAAATGTTCTGGCGTGCAGCGAATACAAGCGAACAAATATCCGTCGCGAGGATCGCTGTGCTATTAAGTAGGATGACACTAGGGACCAAGGAAAAAGGGAAGAAAGAAAGAGTTCATTTGTCGGTGATATCATTGCGAATTCAGAAAAATCTGTAGGGAACACATATACAGTTGTTACCTTTGTTGTATGTGACTGAACTTCGAAGAATGATATTTGAATGATAGAAATTTTGATTTTCCTTCTTTGATGTTAATCAAAGAGAACTCATTTTCAGAAAAAAAAATTCTTTTTTTTTTTTTCAAAAATAGAAAAATTCGTAGATATAATATTGTGTTATTTATCGAATAAAAAAATTGTCAATGATTACATTTATTGTAAATTTTGAGAATTTTTGAAAACTAGACACATATGTGTTTTAAATTCTTACGTATAGATTCACGATATTAAAGATAGTGTTAGTGTGTTCATTATTATCGTTTTTAATTGTATTTAATTTTAAATTCAAATAACTGAAAAATTTTAGATTTCTAGAATAATTTCTATAGATTAATTTTATAAGGACGCAGTTGGAAATATAATTATAAAATGAGTTTTACATGTATACATAAAATAAGAATATTTTTTTAAGACTGCGCAATATTTTTTCCATTAGGATTACACAATATATGTCGAGGAAAATATAAAAAATAATATTTTATTTCTATGAAAGCTATTTGGAATGCAGCACAACATTTCTGGACTTTTATCCTACCTTTGCTTTTTTCTGGAGCAACGTATCACATAATAGAAGATAGCAGGAGAAATACACATTTATAGGAATAACAACAGAATTTATACGTCGAATGTATATACATATCCCAGTGTCGTATTTTCTGAATTCGTTGTTTAGTGAATACTATAGTGGATCTGCACTTTGCAAGAGTACATAGAATGCACAAATACGTATACGTATATACAAGCTAAAAGTTTCGCTCAATAATAAAATATCTTTTATGACTGAAATTTTTAAATTTATAGTACGATAATTAACAGTTTATTTATTTATATGAAAAATTTTATACTGAAAAACGAGATCTCCAAATAATAGAAAAAAAGAGAAAAAATGTTCAGAAAATATATTTTTTAATTTAAATAATAATTTATAAATTCTAATATAAAATCTACAATACACGTCAGTAAAATATTTAATAATATTAGAAGAAATTTAATTTTTATTTTGATACATGATGAATATTCTAACAATTTACTGAAAAGCAAACAATTCTCCGACGTTATGAGATATTCATTTTCAACATTATTTTAAATGTCATAACTGCGCATACCACATTGATCGCTCGCAACTCGCGCTTCTTTATTATATTACTGATAAACCAGAACATGTCTACAATGTTTTGTAGGATTAAACGTACTTAAAAACGTGCCAAACAATAAAGTAATTTTACATTTTTCACGATATCGATATTTTCAAACGATATCGTCCTGTTATCGCGTGAATGGCATAACGATAAATATAACAATAAAAGGTGACTGTGGTGGAATATCGCGTATAAGTAGCATGCTTTTAGTGCTGCTATATTCTTCTGGGACATTCTCGCGTCTTTGAATATCGTGAACAATTCGCTTTATTGGCCTCCATCCAGCGCAGTCATCGACCGCGTCGCAGACGCATAATGCACGCGGACGCATGCTGCGTAATCGTGACAATGTAAATATAGCGCAGAAATTTTAGGAGAGAAGTTTCAAAAATTAAGCGAAAGCAGAAATATTTCGAACGAAGAGTCGACTAAAATAAAAATTATATTATGCGAACATCATATTTAAAATGTTGGTGAAAACTTAAATAATCTTCTCGTTTTAATCTAAAGCAATTTTAAAGACGATATTTTTTTCGGAAAAATAATGTCTATAACATTCGGACAACATAATATAAAATCTAAAAATGTAACGTGTGGCATTAAGTTTCTGCCTCGTTCTCTTTTATTGGTTTCTTTTTTAAATCCTGAAATTTCCGCACCAACATTGCGCGAATCCTAGAATCGCGAAACAAACTTGGAGCACCGCAATCCCAAATACTGCGACTGTATAGAGATACACATGTACGTCTTCGCGTGTGCGTTAGTTCAGACATAGTAACTCGACACTAGTATCTACTTCAATGTTACTAAATACAGTTCACACCGCTTAACATGCGAGCTTGCAGGACATAGACGTGTGCAAGTTTACTAATATCGCGGTTGCTCGGTCGAATAAGATTGCGGTTTCTAGCATGCGACGACGAATTGTGATTTAGTCCCATGTAATGATATAGAAATTATGATCGCGTGCACGATCTCTTCTGGAACGACGGAAACTTTTTGATTGAATTTAAGTAGGATTGAAGAGAATATAAAACGAGCGATGTCTAAATAAATCGAAAAAAAAATATTAATATACTACGTGCTCTTATATCTATAGTCCATTAAATTGTGCAAATAGATAGATGCAACATAGGTGTGCTAGCTTGCTAACATATATTAGTAATCCAATGTTTTAAAGAACGAAATATACGAATTTTATTAGCAAATGATATATGACGGATTTTAATATTAAATAATGTTATTAAAATAATCAAATTTCTTTTCTGACACAATAAATTCTTATAAATAATGAAAATAATAGGAAGTTGCTACGAGCAACTACTTAATATGTGTCAATAAAGCAATGTGGATTTTTTTATTATATGTATGGGTGTGTATTAGATCTCTTTAAATATTGATTATTATTATATATCAATTGCTATCTCTGTTGAAACTGTTGGTAGCTGTCTCAAACTAGGATTATGGGTCATGGTGATGGCCAATATCGAACAAGCTGCACAATTTAATCTTCGATGAAACGAGCAATTGACCTTGTTTGTCGTTATCACATGCGCTTACAGACAATATCCATCTATTAGCTAGGCTAGAAGTAGCAACTATGGTTTTCTATTTAATAGTATCTCAAGTAACACATGCCTGTTTGCTCGCATTTCTGCATCTTTCACGTGCATATCATGTGATATAAAAAGACAAAATTTCACGATATCCTAATGTACCTGCATATGTGAACTTTACTCTACTTGTAATAAATTAAAATTTCAATACAGAAAACGGTAATATTTTGTTTGTAGTAACAATAATTTTGCTCCAATTAAAGCTAGAAAAAAGCAGCATTTGGAAAAAATAATTGTCACTCAATATTAAGATAAAATAATTGCTATTGTATCTTGGTTCAGAATTATTTCGAATTATTTGTAATGTTTTTTCGGTCTGATAACATCATACAAATGGAAACATTCTCGTTTTACATATTGAAAACTGAGTTTATTGTAAATAGAATACAAAGTTCTCACATAGGTCTTCTGCGCTCTTGAGCTTCTTTTAGCGAAACGGAATCATTATTTAAAGTAGAATACCGTAGAAACTCTATGCAAGGTCAGAGAAATCTAACAATCAAGAAATGTTGATAGAGAAGCCAGGGAAATTGTGAATATCTTGAATTTCTCGTCACATGACGGATAGAAATGAAATCACACAATTGTGTGATTAATAATTTTCATTTCTATTTCTATATATATTATAAGATTTATCATTAAATCTTATCGTACGTTTCTACAATAGTAACTTTTTTGTTACAATAATAACAAAATTAAAAATTATATTTTTATATTTTTTAGTTATTTTTGATTCAATATTTATTTTGATTTACTCGCTCCTCTTGAAATGTCATAATTGCATTTACATATGTATGTAGTAATTCCGAAATTTGTAATAATTTGGGATATTAATTATGTAATCATTTAATTCGTTGCACTGAGATGCTGCAGTCGAGCTAATTATAAGTTGAAATCGTAATCGTAATAAACATTGGCGTAATAACATTATATCAAACTCGAGGAACAATAATTACATGACTGAATCATTATACGCGAAAGCTGTAGGACGAGTAAATGCTATTGTCTAATAATTTTCAATAAAGCTCTACTAGCTTCGCCGCGTTAAGATTTTAAACCACTTGGCGAGATATTCCTATAAAAAATAAGAAATACAGCGAGAAGAGTAGATCTCGTTTTATGTGCAGCTATACAATTTTACGTCGAGTTTCCGCGCCCAAAGTGTGTGCTTAGAAAGAAAAGATAAGTATTTCATGAATGCTGCGAGTCAACGAGATGGTGATTCAGATATTATTAGTGTATTTATATTATACAAATAATGGAGCAGTCGAATAATATCGGTTGCAATAAACTAATTGAACGATATTAAAGAACGAATATTTATTTTGATGTGT